CCCGGTGAGATCGGGCCAACCTTTGTGGGCTAAGCACTAGTCTACCGGGACCAACGTTACGTAATGCAGTGGCAATAGGCATTCTCTCTAGGGCGCGGTGACGTCAATGCAGCGATGTACGGGATTCAAATAAACTCAGTTAGTCATCGCAATTATGTTTACAAGTAGGTCCGCTTGGTGAACGCGTGAACTCGCGTCTTTCCAACAACGAACGAAGAACACAAAGACACGCACATAAAAAATTATCCAAAAAAGCCTCAGAATTTTACCAAAGGCAGTATAATTGTAGCCCGATATTCGCTTATAACGCTCTCGTAGTCTGTATGGTAATGTGCCAATATAATATTATATATATATCAAGATCGCGAGTACATAATATAGAGAACACTAGTCTCTATTATGTACTCTTTATATATATTATATATATAATATATACTATATATATAATATAGCTTCCAGCCACCAAGCTAACTGCGTGAACGAGTTTTATATTGAAGGATTTCGCAATTTCAATTATTCGTATATAATATTTCGCTTTCTGAAACGCTTCTTTTTCATTATCACCGGGGCGAAAATACAACCTGTATGTGGCGCAGATGAAGTTCGTCATTATAAAACTGGGCCGCCAGAGCGGAATGCTGTGCAGGCAAGGCGTAGCTCGATAGGGACGCTGTTTTTTGATAATAACACAACAGCCAGCGCCGTAAAAATGTGTTTGTGTTGCCCGTCCTAGATGTACAGTAGAATTTTTACTATAGCAAGGTTTGTCGCCGCCGCCGGCGTATTTGTAAGAGAATACGAGTTCTGCTGTGTCGTGTTCGCCCAAATGGCGTAGCAGACGAGAACACGAGAGCCTGCAGGTCGTGGGTCAACGAGGTACGCGAGAGGTCGTTCGGCAGTAAACACACACCCAACACACCGCGACGACATACCACAGCACACACACATACACATCCACGGCGACAGCACACACACAGCACACAGCGCACGACACACGCACTGCGCACACACAACGCACACGCCACCACCAACGCCAACCCACGCACACGCACAACAGCACAACGCACCGCAACACCGCGCACACACACGCACACACCAACACACAAACATACCACACACACACGACACACACACACACACACACACACGACAGCACACACAGCAAGCACACACACAACAGGGTTTTTACGCTACGATGTGTACAGCATGGGCAATGTGTTCGTCGAGAATAGAGGACGAGTCGAACGCGACAGAGCAAGCCAGCTGCTGACGTATGGCTACTTATAGTACTATACTCTATGTGTTTGCACTGTGTTAGCTATATAGATAAACATATTTATACACAAAAGATACATACACGAATTCATGGTTAACAAGTAAGGTAAATATTATAATAACGTATAACAGTTCTGTGTGTGAATAATAACCGTTGTGAGCGAGGATGTTCTACATATGCGCCAGCCGAGAGAAATAAACACGAACCGTCTCACAGCGTGACTGTTGAATTTAAGCGAGGCTACACTAGATAGACAAGAAAATGCTACACCGCCCGCTATATGGCCAAACTATTATAGTCTGAAAGAATTGTAAGTGTGAGCGCAGAATATAGGTGAGGGTTGCTGCTTCGGCAACGTGCTGAACTTCAGGTTTGCTCGCTCTGTTCTCTACGCTAGTCACGTGATCAGCTGATTCACGTCTCAGAAGCTCTTACTATTATGATACCAATCACTACTACGATCTGATGGGCCTTTTCAAATAATACTGAGCTCGCGGGACGTGAGATATCAGAGTTATCATGTGTGAATAGTGCGCATATAAAACACACCCTTTAAGAAAAGTTATAGAAGAATACGTTGACGCATTCGAGGTATACACCAGGAATAAAAACTTTTGATTGCAATTGATTTGCAATTATCACTTGGGATGCCCGCAGACAAATGGCGACTATAAGACGATAGCTATTAAGTTTACGAGCAGTAGTATTCGATTAAGTAGTTAATATGTAGTTACGCCTACCCCATAAGTATTCCAACTCAAAAGTAAAATATATTATTTACGATCACTCATAATTATAATTCTTGAATATCGATGGAATTGTTACACGAATCTATATGCATGCATGAACTTGTTTGCTGATTGTTCGCTATTAAAAGTTCCGCTGCCAATCAAGTTAGCAACAGGTTTTCTGTTTGCTCACGTAGAGCTCAGGTAAATTACGAGTGTAGTGTTTTTTCCACGATGCAGAGTCCAGCTATTACGTGTATGTTTACGCATGTACACAGACCCCGTATGATTATGTTATGTTGAGCTTACACTAAGTAACTGTTGACGCATCCGCCCTGACAGAACATTCAGCGATTCGCTTCTATGACTCATCTTACTGCGCGCCTACCGTGCCCGCAAGGCGACGCACGCACGCACTGTTCGAGCCACTGTTCAACCGATGATCGAGTATAATCGATGATCGTGACATGACGCCGTGACATAACGATAATCGCCGTTACCTGACGTCGTCGACGATGTCGATCGTGTCCGTCTCCTGCCTCGCTTTCACGCTCGCCGCATCGCTCTCGATCACGCGATGGAAGTCCGTCATCTCGACGACGCTTTCCAGGTGCGTGGCGATGAACTCTGTGCAACTCACCTCCATCCGCGACAGCTGCAGTAGAAAAACGAGCATGGGAAATATAACAGATGCTGTAGTACGGTGCAGCCATTTAGGGCGCGTTTGTTTGGTCGGATCCACGGATCTCGATCCAATGGATTCGTTGATCTGACTGTTTGTTTGGTCGGATCACTTGATCTCGATCCACCGAACCCGATCATGCTAGCGAGGTGGATTCGAATCGGATCCAATATGGCGACCCGCGCCTCAGCCAATCACAGCTTGTTCTTTGTTATGAACCATCCCGTGATAGGTCACAGCGAAACGTGAACCTGTGAAAGTGAGTTTGCGTTTGTTTGGTCGGATCAGGATCACATGATCGCGATCCGACGGATTCGTCCCAAACAAACGCGCCCGTAGATTCACAGCAGTATGATCGACCTCCAGCCTTGACAGTTGCACTGGGAAAGCAGGCAGAAAAATACAGACGCTGCAACGTTGAAGCCATATAGATTCACTGCAACATTGTTGGCGGACAGATGCGTGGATGAATGCCAGCATCAACTTGCTAGGGACATCACACGGCTAGTCTATCGCGACTACAGCCATCAAGACCTTGTCTTTGTACGCGCTGGGACCAGGCCCGTTGTCAGAAACAAAATTAGTCTTAACATTAGTCGTTTCATTAACATTTTCTAGTCGACCGGACCTCTACATGACCTCTACATGAAACTCGTTACTTTACCACATTTCTGTCAACGGTCTATGCGAAAATGTCAATGTTAACACTGACGTTGAAGGTAGTTTTGCTTCTGACCCTGGTCCCAGCGCGTACAAAGGCAAGGTCTTGGTGGCTGCAGTCGCGATAGTCTAGTTATGCCATGTCCCTAGCACGCTAATGCTGATATCCATCCACGCATCTGTCCGCCAACAATGGCGCAATGAATCTATATGGCTTCAGCATTGCAGCGTCTGTATTTTTTGACAACGAGCCTTAATTCCAAAGCAGCGGTCACTCGCCACGGTACAGAGGCCATCGTTGCGGTGTGTTATGCACCCGCTACGATGAACAGCACAAAGAGCACAGCCACTCCCTCATGTTGAGGTGACAACTGATCGAAGAATGTTATATGAATTTGCTTGCTGTATCAACTTGAAGTGAATGAGAAATATGCCTGTCGGAGGCGCCGCCATACCTTGAAACCTTGCCGAGACTAGCTAGAGATCTCGAAAGGGTAACGAGGTACAAAATCGATACGATCTAGAGCGTAACCCAACGAAAATAGACTAAAAGAATAACTAGACAATAAACTGAAACTAACTACAGACTAAACTAAACATATATACAGAGTAATTATTAGTGACTAGGATTAACTAGAGACTACTAATTAAGATTAACCATGGACTAACAAAAAACCAACTAGAGACTAAATAGACTTATTATAGACTAATAGAGACTAAATAGACTTACTATAGACTAACTAAATACTAGCTAGACTAACCTCAGATCAAGACTAAGTACTGCAGGCACTAACCTGGAAGAGTCGTGCGGTCCGCAGCACATCAACGACGTTATCTAGCGTGAGCGCGAGTGCCATGCGCGCTCCACACTGTCGCTTCAGCCCCGGCAGCAGCAGCATGTCCGCTGCCGTCAGCACCTCGCAGACAACGTCGTCCGCGACACACGCGCCGTCCGTGTAGACGTAGTAGACGATGGCGACGAACACCGCCGCCGACACGCTGCGCAGCGCCACGACGGGGGCGCCACCGTCACTGCCGCAGCCCTCGCCAAAGTGGTCGGCGAGCACGGCGCGAAAGTAGTCGCTGCGGCCGCAGAAGAGCGCGCGGTGGCAGGCGAAGCGGTGGCCGTCGACGACGAAGCAGACGTCCGCGAACGGCGACCGCTCGCTCGGGTAGAACGGCAGCTCGCTGCCGGACACCCAGCGAGCTAGCGCCGCCGGCAACGCCTGCTCCGCGAGCATGCCAAGGTCTCCCGCGACGGTCGCGCAGCAGCCGCCGCCGCCGCCCTCGCTCGCCTCGACGGTAACCATGGTGACGCTCGTGCCGGGCTTCGCGGCGAGAAACTCGCGCAGCTTCCGCTGCCGCGCCTCCAGCTCGTCGATTAGGTCCACCAGGTGGCACTGCTTTGCGAGGACGATGACGGACTCGACCTGGTCAACATGGACCTCGAGGCTTCCCATGTAGAGGTATTGAAGCATGAGCCTGCGCACACACACGCGAGTTGGTGACATATGTTAGAATGACGTCACGTCATCATAGATATAGTACTATATAATAGACATGCAGCCTTCCCATGTAGAGGTATTGAAGCATGAGCCTGCGCACACACGCGAGTTGGTGACATATGTTAGAATAACGTCACGTCATCATAGATATAGTACTATACAATAGACGTGCAGCCTTCCCATGTAAAGGTATTGAAGCATGAGCCTGCGCACACACGCGAGTTGGTGACATATGTTAGAATGACGTCACGTCATCATAGATAGTACTATATAATAGACGTGCAGCCTTCCCATGTAGAAGTACTGCATGCAGCATGAGCCTGCGCACACACACGCGAGGTGGTGACATATGTTAGAATGACGTCACGTCATCATAGATATAGTACTATATAATAGACGTGCAGGCTTCCCATGTAGAAGTACTGCATGCAGCATGAGCCTCAATGTGAGTGATGCAATATATGCAGGACACCCTGATTCGCGTGCCACTAAACAGTTAGAACCAGTAAATTTTAGTGTAATCTAATTAAATTTGAACCAATCAGAGCACAGTGTTATATGCGGTGCGACCCACCAGAGATAGACATAGAGTTTGATGTAAGGGCAACCAACTATCTCTCTCCATGATTTATTATTCTATCCCTCGCTTTATTCTTCCAATTTATATTAGATTCAGGCATATGAATTTGCAAGACGGACTACGATTCTATAGCATATAATACAGCAACAGACTTAAACCCGTAAAGCTAAAAATTCGACGGTAAGCGATCATACCTGAACGCCGCTGGCCTGACCAGCGGGTGCGTGATGTGGACAATGCTGCGCTGCTGCCACCTATCCATGAACATCTCAGCGAAGTACTGGCTGCGTGCGCTGAGGATGCAGCGATGGCCAGCGAATCGCTCGCCGTGCACTACGAACCACACGTCAGCGTATGTTGCATCCTCCAGCAGCCTGATCGCAGCGAGGAAAACGCCGCGTACAGCACAGCAATTGAACTACATTATCAAATTATTCTGTTCAAGTGCAAGCCAAGTTTTAACTAAGGTTTATTCAGCAATTTTAGGGTGCCAAGGCAAGTTGAAATAGCACCATGACAAACGTTTTTTTTAACAGGAGGCGCACTAAGGCAATTCACGTTTTATCAACACTACTTAAGACATGGATGAATACACAGACATCATGGCATTTAATGGAATTGCACGGAGGCAAAAAAAATACCAAACAATTACCTGCAATTGAAAATTGCAATGATAGACAGAGGCATGGATTACAACCTGCAGGCACTATCACGCGCACGGCGCCAAAGTTTAATATAGACACGTCCAACGCACACAAACATCACTGAATGCTCCATCTACTACAGAGTTCGTACATAAAATGCACATGCAATAGTTTTTGATGTTTTCTAGGATTTAAAAGCCCGTTTTTTCCATGACGACATTTTAGCTGAATACAATCTTCGTGCCTTGTACTGTTTAATCGACGATTAGTAAACACTTACAAGAAGCAAATTTGATTACATCTCTTAGACAATATAGATATGAGTTCAATTCCGAGGAATTACTAGGACGAAACATAGTTATAGCCTTGTTTCCCATGACTTTCCAAAGCTACAATTCCAGGACTCTCCAGGTTTTCCAGGACCCTTGGGAACCCTGTACCAGTATAACGGCTTTGCTTCCTGGAGGGGGTGGGCCACGCGAATCGATCGGGGATCGCGCCCATACCTACGGAGAAACTCCTGATAGCTGTCTCTCCTCATGCACTGCGCAGTTATGACCTTGTAATTCTTCAGCATGTTTCGGATGTCGTCGTTCAGCGCCCCGTACAGACAGCGTTCGCCATCGAATGTGTTAGCCTCGCATTTTGCACCTGCAAATGTAAAGTGCGACAAATTCTACAGTCTGAGCAATAAGCGTGAAGGCATTTTTTCAGGACATATATGCTACGTTACTGTTTATATTCTTTGACGGCTGGTCGCATGAAGTGATTTTATTTGTTACTAATAAATACACAGTAAACCAGTGACTATATACATGGCATTCCTGCTAACAAAGGCTGTCAGGATAAACCCCCTCAGAACCTGCAAAGACATTTTGCAGATGTGTCATAATAATATAGACCGCATACCATTTTCAAGGCTCTCAATTTTCAGTGTGTGAATTAAGTAATTTGAAAAAAATTATTATAGATAGGCAGAGATACAAACATCTTAAAGTGGATGGGCAACACACGCTTAATTACACCATTAGGAGAACCTGCCAGAAGCTTCATGTGATGTTATGACAGTTAATGTAAAATTGGACATATACCTCTGATGAGCAAGTAATGCACCACTTCGCTATGTCCGCACAGGCAAGCGTAGTATAACGGAGTGCTATCCCAACGATCTCTGATGTTCAGCTCTACTTCTAGCTGCTCCACTAGATACCTGCATGTGAATGAGTAAAAATTCTAAGCAATATGACACACGTACGTGCCTGGTCGATGCAAGAAATGCATGGAAACATTATGTGTAAGGCTACACGTACATAGGCTCTACTGCTTGTGTGCAGGCTCACCAACACATACTGGGTGAAATACAACTATGCTGGCTCTAACACCACAGCCTCCATGACTCCGCAGAGTGTAAAGTGCACAGTGCTTGGCAATAGAGACTCATGCTAGCCCTACCCATGTTGCCCTCTGCTCTAGCACACAACATGGCAGATCGAGTGACAGCTCCACCCGGCTGTTGTCTAAATATGCGTGTCATGACGGGAAAACGCATGAATCCGACTCACCAGTCACTCTTGTCATCTCACGGCTGGTTTACCGCTGCCACATGTAATGTTTAGTATGCATAGCACGAGAAGGCGTAAGACATTAGGTAAACGCATTATCTTTTTACCACGCACGGGCGGCAGAACCCCCGCGCCGACCCTTTACCGCCAGACACAGACGTATCCATACGCGTAAGAAAACAGCGCAACATATGATATATGACAGTTATCAGGTGAGACTATATAGTTTACTACATTATACATATTTTCACGATTCTGCAGTTATTTAAGAAATAATTTTCTTTAACACGCTGAAATAGATGTATTACTAGTACTAGTATTGCATATCCTCTGCATGGTTAATTGATAGACTATGAAAAGTGCTGAAACATGTAGATGCAGACAGCTAAACATACATACGTGACGTGTTCGAGATCGCCACGGCGACAGCTGAGAAACAAGTCCCTCTGATCCATCGCTCGTCTGTGTGAGTGTCACCAACTCGGCAAATTAGCGCCTTTCACTTCCAAGTTCCACTTTCAGTCAGACAGAACTCTACACCATGCATAGTGCCATATAGCTTTTGCTCTAAGAATTTGTGTAAATCTGACACTAGCACAGCCTTAGACTTAGAGCCTATATAGTATAGGCTAGTATACCTACTAGTACTAAACGTCACCAGATTATAAATACTTCTACTTCTAGGGAACAATTTATTGCTGGTCTGACAAAAAGTAAATAGAACAATAAACAAACCTAAGATTCGAGGCCTAGGCTATAGTAATTAGTACACACTAAGCTATAGGCTACATGTAGCTCTAGAACTATATATAGCCCTCCGCTTCTCGCTTAACACTACGTTGGCGACCACTGGCAGCAAGAACAAGTCGGCACCTGCAGCTACAGCACACACGGCCATTGACTATATAATATAACAACGTTGTTATATTATATAGTCAATGCCGGTGGTGTGCGTAGCTGTACGTAGCTGCAGGTGCCGACTTGTTCTTGCTGCCAGTGTTGGCGACGTGTAACAGTCGCCAGTTCTAGATTATAAATAATCCCCTCACTGGATTTCAGGCCGGATTTCAGGGCCTTAGCAGAGGAAGGTGACGGGAAATTCTCGCGCGTCGCAATGGTCAGGAACGGCCGAAAACGGGTAGGGTCGCTTCAACGCATTTTTTTCGACACTTCCTATTAATTCACATAATGTTTATCAGTCGAAATCAACAAAGAACACCCTCAACAGCACCCCTGTCGATTTTAAAGGGGCTACCCCCACATTTACGAAAATGACATAGGTCTCAATGGGAGCCATGTTCTCTATCCTTGAACCCACATGTGTTGTATATATCTATGGTTTAGGGTACCGTATTAAAACTATTATAGAAATTAATGAACTAATCTGGGGTGCTAAAGCAAAAGTCACGGGGCATATTAATAAATATAATATAAATATAATAGCATATCGTAACATCAATCGATGCCGAACATGAATGTCTGTTGTTAATACAATACAAATATGCAGTTTGTTATTTCACCTGATTCCATGCGTCTATACAACGCTCGACATTGATCAAATGACATCTTCGCGCCATCTATCGGAGAAATAATTCTATGCGCATTGTATGTTGCATGTAATCGTAAAACGCATTATTAAATTTATTATAATACTCTAAAACGTATTTAACGTTGAGTGGAATTAATATAATTACAGTACCTATACAGAACAACATTTACTGGATAAGATTGGTAAAGGTTTGGCCGTGAAATGCCCATCCTACTGTGCACTTCGATGTATGCATTTCAATAATGTAGCAGCGACTTTGATCAATATTGACATTCTCGGGCCATCTACCGGTAGAAATAATTCATATATGCGCGCACATGGTTACGTGCCTGCTTTAGACTATTCCGTCTCACAGACGGCTGGGTAGTCACGGTGTAGTTATTTATAGGGTTTAGGAGGCAGGGACACGGTGACAATACAGAATTATTATAATGGAGGGAGGTACAGGGAGTGTCTTCTGCCCGCCTCCCTCCCCTCTCCTCCTGCCTCCCTCCCCTTCTCTTCCCGCCTCCCGCCTCCTCTTGGCCCACCTCCTATCTCCCTCCCTCAACACCTCCAGGATTCTTTATATTTTGCATTTTCTTTTTTGAATGTAATTAGTTTCTCTGACAGTTTGCGTGATAAATGTATTATCCGGTACAACGTATTTCTCATGTATTTATTTCTCGTGCTATGGATTTCTTTTATTTGATCTACTTAGTATACCTCTCTTTTTCTCAATCCTCCACTCCCCGCCCCGTTTTCTCCCGTCTCCCGTCTCCCCGTACACCCCCTCACACGAGGTACACCCGTCAATGCTGGCACAGCTATATATGCTAAATACTAATAAAAATAACATATACTGCTCATACCGAGACAACTGTATAAATTGTTCTCAGAATACTAATAGCATGAACATACTCGTGAGTTTATATATATACTCAAGAGTAGATATATAACACATTGTTATTATCTACTCTTGATATATAATATATATATATATATATTATATAAACTCGCCTGGTAGTGGTTAATGAC